TCTGTAAATGTATAGCTAGCTTTTGGTGGGGTAAGGCTGAGGTAGATAATTTCGTAACTAAATAGTCTATATGTTTTGAATTAAAATACGTGCTCGTCGGTGACCCGTCCCTTGTTACAAAAAGTTATTGAGATTGGGATAATTGGCGTGTATTATATGCTCGAGCTCGCTCGTCTATGTTCAATCCCTTGTTACGAAAGGTTATTGGGAGCGAACCGCTAGATGTTTAAGTGAGAGCGTCAATCTGGAATAGAACGATTATTGTCCCGGTTTGCAAGTAGAACATGAATTGATTATCCCCGATTCCCTAGCTTCTCAATCTTTGTTTCGTTCACATTTTTAGGTAGATTATTGCTTTCTATTATTTCTTAGTTAGTAATTATTCAAATCCCTTATTTTATTAGAGTGTTTAGTATTTATTTTGCTTTTATGTGCTATCAATACGAGAGTTGAATTCTGAACAGCCTTCCTCGTGAGATTGACCCGGGGAACGAATCTTTCGATTCAGTACTCGGTAAAAATAACAATTTGTGCTACGACAAAATGTACTTGATAAATAGGATAATGATATCCTTTGCCAAAATTTGGGTAATGAATTCTCGTTAGTTTAGATATGACGTGAACTGTTTTATGAAATGAATGAGTAACACCATTAAATGTTTTAAATCAGAAAATGAATTTCGAAAACTAAACTTGATTTTTGGATAAGCTATTAATTATTCTTTACAATCAAAGTGAGACATTACACGTTGACTTAAGACCACTAAAAAAAAGAAAGTACACATCTACCCTATGCTATTTTTCACACATCACTCAATTGCATCTATCAAGTCATATCAGTTTGATGTAGTCAATCACATATGTCATTATCAAATCTTTTGCAACTCAAATAAAATCAATAACATTCTTTCTCATAATAATTGCAACACGAGATGTCCATAGAAACCATGACTGGTCTGTAACCCAAAATCTTTAAACCCAAATAATGCAAAGGAACAATCACATCCTTGATGTTTAAATTAACAGAAAAAAAATAAATACGAGCAAGTAAAAAACTAAAGAGCAATGCAATGATACTGATATTATTGACGATTATTATGGAAGAGGTTTTTCACGACAGCTTAACCTATAATGTTGAGAGATTGGATTCATATTGCGCGTATCTTGGCAGCAGTGAGCACTCGTTTCTTGATCACGGAGGTCGGGACCGAATCAATGTTTTCAAAAATTTATGAGCGACATTCACAAGCTACACACCCACCGTGATATGGGATATTATACCCACAAGGCTGAACCGGTCTGTTGACCGGTCGAGGAGGTCACATTATGAGAAAGCCAAAGAAATCGAGCAATTAACCAGTCGACCAAGCAAGACTGTCGACCAAACTATCCTTCGACCAGATACGCGATCGAGCAACCTATTCGACCTCAGCAGGCCAATTACTTCGAGGACTTAACACCACGCTGATCGGCCTAGTCATAGGCGCGTGAAGGAAGCCTCTGACAGAATTCCAGGAGAATATTTACCCCATGTGCAGGGGGGACACGTGTCGAGAAGGCAGAGGTGGATAGCGATAACCACCTCTGACAGCCTACCCCATGTGCAGGAGGACACGCGTCCAAAGAGGATTGGTGCAGGCGATAGTGGCGACGGCTACCTCTGACACACGCGTTTGGTGTGTACGGACGGGCAGTTAGGGCAGACAGCTCATCAAATCTGGGCAGCCCTAGATCAGGTATCTCACCCCTATATAAAGGGGGAGAGCCTTTCTTCTTCAACACGATCATTCTAGTACTTACACTTGAGAATTGATTAAATATACACTGACTTAAGCTTCGGAGGCTCTTCACCGGACCACCCCCCAGTGTGAGAGTTCTTTGTAGGTGCACGACGTTCAACCGGCAAGAAGGAAGGCGATTACTCAAGTTCCTGCCGGTCGAGGAGTTTTGTGTTACCATTTGGCGCCGTCTGTGGGACTTTCGTTTGAAAGGGTGTGCTTGAAGCTCAGATATGGCGGACGGAATTCCCAAAAACCTACAGTCAACATTCGATGATGCTTGGACAACGACCAGACCATTGGGGCAGGGTCCTCCCCCGGGTTTTTCTGGTCCATCACAGACGCCGACCACTCCCATGCCTGTGCTCCAAGGTGTGGGAATGACAACGGCGATTCCCGAAGGAGACGCTAGCCCCAGCCGTGCTCACGAGGCCCGCGCAGCGGACGCAGCGGCGATGCCACCACCGCCGCCACACAGCTCAACGGCAGCGCAGCCAGGAGGAGGGGGAGTGCAACTGGGAGCGACGGTGGCGCAACCGGGAGGAATGGGGGTGCAACCAGGAGGAGCGGTGGCCCAAGGAGGAGCACCGCCGCGAGCAGCGGTTCAGGTCCCCGACCAGCAGGTGGTAATGACCAGGCAGGAGATGCAACAAATGGTGGCGGAGGCGGCGGCGCAGGCGGTTCAGCAAGTCACAAACAGTCTCTCTCGGGCTATGACGACGCCGAACACTATTGCAGGGTCACGGCAAAACGCGGAGGAGGATGAATCCAGCTATGGCGGAGGCGGGCCCACACATGACCGGGAGATGGAGAGGATGGAGGAACAGCTGCGCCAATTGCAGGCTAAGGTGGATGGTCGGGCAGAGAGGCGCGCTCGAGGACACCCGTTCTCGGCGGACATACTGGCAGCACCCTTGCCAAATAATTACATGGATACTAACCTGGTGTTTGATGGGACTTCTGATCCGTCGAGACACGTGAGGACATTCGAAAATATGGCTGTGTTGCATGGATATACTGACCCTGTTAGCTGCAGGGCCTTTTTATCGACCCTTAGGGGAGGGGCGCTCGACCGGTTCCAACAGCTCCCCCCAGGCTCGATAGTGGACTTTGAGGATTTTGCGGAGAAGTTGACAAATCAATATTCGAGCGCGGTGGCTCAGGAGAAAATGTATTTGACATTGATGGCAATGAGACAAGGCGAGAAGGAGTCATAGCGTAAGTATGTTGCTCGATACAATCAGGATTGTTTGGAGATTCCGTCGACGGTCGACGAGGTCAAGGCGGGAGGACTGATAAGGAGTTTGCGAGCAGGACCGTGTCGGACTTCCCTGGCTAAGACCCCTGCTCACACGTATGATGAGGTATTGAGGAGATCCAGGAAATATATCAATCTCGAGGAGACAGAGGCGGAGTTTGCCAAACTAGAGGAGCTAGGTCGAGGGGAGTCGAGGAAGGAGAAAGCAGTGTCGCCTAAAAGGAAAACCTCGCCCAGGAGGGAGGGGTGAGCTAAGCAAGATCGAGGGCGAGAAGACAGGTGGAAGGACCGACCTATCTCTGGAGGGAAGAGGTTCCATGATTACACCCCCTTGAACGCGAAGGTGGCCGAAGTTCTGATGGCTATGGAAAAAGGGATAGATGGGAAAGATGTGACGTGGCCAAGGTCGAGGTTCGAGGGACCCACCCAACCGAAGTCGAGGAGATATTGCCGCTTTCATAAAGACTATGGCCATACTACTGAGGATTGTCGGCATCTCAAGGACGAGATTGAGCGCCTTATTCGAGCAGGGCATCTCAAGGAGTTTGTTTATCAGGATAAGGAGAGGAGGAAATAGAAGAGAAGGTGTCGGGAGGACTCGGTAGAGAGGAGTGAGGAAGATGATGATGAGGATGCGCGAGGCTGTCTAGATGGTCGTAAAAGAGATGAGGGGAAGAGGAGGCGAGGAAGTAGAGAGCGGGAAAGAGAAGGAGACGTAGGCCAAGTAAAAAGAGGCACAATATATATGATTTCAGGAGGACCGACTGACGGGGACTCGAACAATGCGAGGAGAGGCCACGTTCGAGCAATGAAAAGGAAGAGGGAAGAGGTGAGTATCACGGCTCGCATTCCGGTGATAAGTTTCAAGGCGGAGGATGCCGAGGGAGTGGTCCTGCCGCAAAATGATGCCTTAGTGATAACCGCGGAGGTTGCAGGTTTCGACGTGAATAGGGTGTTCATTGATACTGGGAGTTTGGTAGATGTGATGTTCTACGACTGTTTTGTGTAGATTAACAAGGAGCTGAATATGGAGCTGAAACCGGTGACCACGGCACTTTATGGCTTTAATGGGGGAGAAGTTATGCTGATGGGAGAGGTTAGTTTGCCTGTGGCATTGGGATCGGGAGAGTTGAGAAAGGTGCGTATGGTGAGATTTGTGGTTGTAGGGGCTGAGTCGTCCTATAACATCATCATGGGGCGGACGAGCTTGAATGCGTTTCAGGCGGTCGTATCCACGTACCACATGACGATCAAATATCCGGTGGGTGAAAACGTAGGGGAGATCTCCGGGGATCAGCTCACTTCAAGAAGTTGCTACCAAACGACAGTCAGCAATAACAGGCAATTGGCGAAGAGGCAGGCCGAGTCGAAGAGGGAGGAAGTTAATCGACCAGGAGGATCGAGGTCGAAGGAGGACAAGCAAAAAGGGGAGAGAGGTAAGGAAAAAATGGATATCCAACCTGGGGAGGAAGTCGAGGAGATTCAAATGATCGAGGGATGTGAAAGGAGAAAGTTCAGGATTGGAAGGGATCTGGGAGAGCCTATTCGGTCGAGGTTGATCCAGTTGGTTAGGGAGTTCGCGGATATTTTTTCCTATACGGCAGAGGAGTTAACGGGGATAAGTGCGGAGGTGATCGAACATCGGCTAAACATCGACCTCAGCGTGAGGCCGGTGAAACAGAAGAGAAGGCACCATGGGGCGGAGATGGATAAGATCATCGAGCAGGAGGTCGAGAAACTATTGGGGGCACGACATATTAAGGAGATTCAATTCCCCGAATGGCTATCAAACACGGTGATGGTGTCGAAAGCGGAAGGAAAGTGGAGGATGTGCATTGATTTCCGCGATCTGAACAAAGCATGCCCGAAGGATTTATACCCGCTTCCTAGAATCGATCAGCTGGTCGACTCCACAGCCGGGTGTGAGCTACTCAGTCTGATGGACGCATCCCAGGGTTATCATCAGATCCCGCTGGCTCGTGAGGATTGGAAAAGGGTCAGTTTTGTAACAAGCCGTGGAACATACTGCTATGTGGTGACGCCTTTCGGTCTAAAGAATGAGGGGGCGACATATCAGAGGTTGGTGGATAAAATTTTTAAAGAGCAGTTGGGGAAGAACATGGAGGTGTATGTGGATGATATACTGGTAAAGAGCAAAGAGGAAATCGACCATATGAACGACTTAAAAGAAACATTCATGACCCTCCGGAAGTAAGGATGAAGTTGAATCCCGCTAAGTGCTCGTTTGGGGTCAAATCGGGAAAATTTTTGGGTTACATGGTCACGAGGAGGGGGATTGAGGTCAACCCGGAGAAAGTGAGGGCGGTGATTGAAATGCAGCCCCCCACAAAGGTGAAGGAGGTGCAGATCTTAACTGGTCGAATAGCAGGCCTGAGCCGTTTTATTTCTAAAGTAGCAGAGAAGAGCGGGCCCCTATTTAAGACACTCAGGAAGAGCTCGAAATTCCAGTGGATAGAAGAGGCACAAAAAGCATTCGAGGAGCTGAAGAGGATGTTGGTCGATCTACCAT